GCGTGTCAATTTCCGCCGCAGCACTATGTTTATATTAAATCGAGAATTACAGAGTATCATTTTTATGTTACAATGATCTCAAACAGTGAATTTAGCTGTTCTTTCCATCTCAAAAAATATGTATTTGGCTGAAATAAACGGATGCGCGCTCCACCCTTTACATTCCGACGCGGCGTTCCGGATCACCTCATCCTAAAGCCGGCACTGTGAGCGATCGGCATCCACCACATTAACCAGTTTTTTGAGATATGTCAGAATGATGACATGATACTACTCTTGTAATCCTTCCTTCCTTCTAGACGGTATTGGAGTAGGGGCAGGATAGTCGATAAGAATCTCACTGAAATCTGTACTGACGGGTCCAAAATAGACTGCGGTGTGGGTGCGGGGATGTTCTCCGAAACGTTGAATGTCTCTCTCTCGTTCCGACTACTGAACTTTGGTAGCATCTTCCAAGCGGAAGTACTGGGAATCGGAAAGGCCTCTAAAGCATTAGAGAAGAACTGCGTAGGAGTACGAAAATCATAAATTTTCTCAGATGGCCAAACGGTACTTCTGGTACATGCTTCACCTATAACAAAGTCTGAAACAGTCAGAGACTGAAAATGTGCCTTAAGCCGGCCAAGTTTACAGACATTTCACTCATCTGGGTTCCCGGCTACAGGAACATACATACATACACCGAAATTAGAGGGCTGAAGGGGTGGGCTAACGCCGAATCATCTCTTGATGAATCCGAAGCAGAGACAATAAATTGTGGCTGATGCCCGTTGAAACAACCCCAAATCTGCAAAATTGCGAGGAACACATGGCCGCATTATGACAAGCCAAAGAACTTCTAAGGAGGTCGAGGAAAGATGTAGTCAAGTTAACAGCCACGACAATGGGACATTGGCCCATTGGCGAACATGGGCCTTCCGAACAACCCTCGGCGCCATAGCTGTAGTTTTGAGGAAAGTAAGGAAATGATCCTACATTATCTATGTGAGTGCCCAGCATTGGCACGAATAAGAAATGACACACTCGGGATTTTTTCCATCTAAAATCTTAAAGAGATGTCCAAATGCACCATTACTAGCCTAAGTAGATTTATCGAAAAATCCAAATGGTTTGACGAAACCGACAAATCATGAAAGAAGGAAAAATCAAAGAAATCATATCGAAGTGTTGCTATCAACACTATTTGGGTCCTGCATGTGCTCAGGCGACGCTGCTACCAACCAACCACAACCAGCCAACCACATTGACTTTTATTTGTCTGTCCTAAAATAGAAGCCAATACGAGTATAAGACAAAAAATTTAATTATCGTCAAAAAATACACCTTAAGGACCGTTTAAAAATGTACCTGACATTTAAACATAAATTTTGTTCTAAAAAAATGTGTCTGAACGGCGGATAAATTTTGAAAGCTACTCAGAAAACGGCTCTAAGAATTTGTAATAAAAGTCAGATATCTAATTTTGTGGCGGATAATATTTTCTGTAGAGTTTCAGGTTAGAGAAACAATCTATGGAAAATTCATAGTTTCATCACTTTGGCAAATTCATTGTTGTATGCCCAATTTTGTTGTAAGGTCGATTTTCACTTTTCCATAAGGTATTTTTGATTTGTCTTTCTTTGGTTACCAAATTCTTTTATTAGGTATAAGTAAACGTGTATATAAGGGGTTATTTATTTTGAAAAACATAATTTTTTCCTGCCGATAAGACAGTTTTTACTGCATGATTTTTTTATCGGCAGGAATTGCTTTCGGAGAATAATTGTCAAATGCAAAAAACGCAATTTTACTAAGTTTATTATGTTATTGGGCCAACTTATGCCTATCCATTTTTCAGCATTTTAAGTTAATTTACTACAAAATACTAAGACATATGACTTTTATTATACATATGTATGCACATACATACGTAAGTGTTTTTCTACGCATAAAAGGTTTAAGGTGACCTTTTTCAATGAAAATTAAATTTTCTGTCATATATTGGCTTATACTTTAGGATAGAAAAATAAAAGTCCAATTATAACTGTTATGAAAAGCCGAAAAAATATCTGCCATAAAAAGATTTATGAGTTCAAAAGTAACTGGTAGTTCATAGCATTTTTGTCATAATTTAAAACGAAAGTGAATTTGAAAATGGGTACTTTTCAGGAGAGCAAAAAAAAACTGTTGTAAAAAATTTTGTTGTCATTAGGAAAAAGTGTGGGATTTAACACTTTGCCTCTAAGAAGACTAGAAATTTGACTATTTGTCAACTTGCGTATCATTCTAAACGCCTGCGCAAGAATTTTTACACATTCGATAGTTTGACAAGGTAGAAACAAATATAAACATTTTGGTCCAACCTTTTCGCCATCAGTTAATGTTCGCAACTTCCAGTGACACACTTATCTGCTCTGATTGTGGTGTTTTGGACATCAGAAGGCATACATACATATATATTTTCCATTTCCTTTCCATTCTCTCGCAGCTGTATGTGATTATTGTACTTCAGGTCGTCCTGCATTGAATTCGCGACGAATGCACTCAAAGCTGTTCACTAACTTGGACGCTTTGCTGAGGTGCTAATCGCACGGCTGATTGCCAATACACTCTAAACTAGCCCAACCTTAATAGTATTTTAGCATTTATACAATTTTGAACCTGGGCAACCATTTTAATAGTAATACTTCGATCCAATTTAAGAAAATCAAATATTTCCTATGCAAAATCTACAGAAAATCCATCTTTCTTTAAATTTATAGTTTTCGGTATGATGAAGACATGAGCTACACACAAAGAAAAAGAGAGGTAAATCTAACCGAAAAAGACGATTAAAATTGCAGTGACCGAAAAAAATTGTAAATCAAACCGACAAAAAATTGTTATTATGAAAGTTCGTGAAAATAGTTCGGGTACCATTAAAAATAGTTAGCTTACCATCGAAAATAGTTCGTGTACCACGAAAATAGTCCGTGTACCACAAAAAATTGTTTTTTAACCATGAAAAATAGTTCGTGTACCACGAAATATTGTTTTTTTACCATTAAAAATAGTTACTTTACCATGAAAATAGTTTTATTACCATGAAAAATAGTTAGTTTACTATGGAAAATAGTTTTTGTACTATAAAAATGGTAAAACTACTATTTTTTTACCTCCAAAAGTTGTCCACTTACCATTTTAATAGTTACTTTGCTAAAATAAAAAGAAGTGATTAAAAAAACATTGATTTTAAATAAATTTATTATTATTTATTACTTTTAATTTAATAAGTACATATTTTTATGTGTTTTACTATTGTAAATTAAGACAAAGATATAAATATATATAAAATTTATACATGTATAGTTTCAAAAAAACGTTGGACGAATATACGTAATTCCATTAGGGGAAAGAGTTGTATTAAGAGGTGAATAATATAATTCAGAAAAGTCCAATAGATAAAATTGGTCTGTACTTCTTATAATTGGAAATGACTGAAAATGGTCTGAAAACATTGCAATTGTGTGTTCAACACATACGAAAATTACTTTGTTGTTTTCAAGTACAATAATGTCTTTGATTTCAAATAATTTCAAAGATTTTGACATCAGGAAATATCCAATTTTATAAGTAGTACCTTTTATTTCCACTTTTGTTATAAAATTGTAGCTTTCATTTATTAATATTTCGCATTCAAAAGAACTTATATTTACTTTTTTACTGTAATATCTGTTTTTAAATTTTTCTTTAGATTGGTTTTCGAAAAATAAGTTTCTATCTAATCCTTTATTCAAAAGTAACCGATTTGAAAACTTTATCATACATTTAACAGCGATTGACAAAGGTGCATTCCTTCTAGAGGTAATACAATTGGTATACGATTTAATCTCTCTATGCTTGGACCGAACCTAAAACACCATACATGCTTAAGAGGTCCTACATTTTTTATGATTGTAGCGTAATGAAGTAGAAAGTGAAATTTCGGTTTTAACGTCGGGCCAAATAGTTGTACGTAAATCGTGTGATGGTTCTTAATTTTTAACTTTAATTTATTAAGGGACTCATCGTCGAACTCTGTTTTTAAAATCTCGTCTATAATTTCAATTAATGTACAAAAAAGTTTCCAATGTTTATTGTGTAGTGGTATTAAATCCCCAATTATTATTGGAAGAAAATGGCAAAATGTCCACATTTCTCGTGCTGACATATTAAGTTTTTGACATTTCAAATGTGATATTTGAATTTCTGGAGATCTATTACTTAACTCAATTTCACCGTATTGAAATTGATTTTTTCGATCATTTAAAATTTCAATTGTAAACAATTTTTCGGATTCAATAAAATGGAGTAATATTTTCGAAACGTCATATCGGCAAACACCTTCAAAAATATCATGCATAATATCCCCGGTAAGATTATTTACCACATGAAATGAATTAATGTCATTGAAAATGGAATTCTCAGATATACCAGTTAACTTTATTCGCTTCTCTGGTATATCTTCTGTAGCAAGGTTTTCTGTATAGTTTAACTCATTCCGAAGTTTGCTCTCTATTTCCTCGACCATGTACGAAGTTTCTTCTTTATTAGATAAACAATATCGACAAAAGTAATTAGATGAAAAGCTTTTAGTGTAGCCGAGAATACTATTTAAACCTAAGTTATCACCCACAACTAGTGCTAGTACAAAATAAATTTTTTTGGTTGTATTATCAAAGCTAATGTCAATTCCCTCTTCTTCAAGACTTTTAATTTTTTCTACCAGTAATTTCAATGATGCGTCATTTCCAAACTGTTTATGTTTACTTCTGAAGAAAAGAGCAGGGAATATATTTTCTAGTCGCGATTGGTAGTGCCGCGGCAAAGTAGGGAAACTGTAATAAAAAGCAGCTATTGATTGTGTCCCTCTGTGGGAACCCAAAGGATTATTAATTTCAAAATCGTCAAAATAAATAACGTAAGGAATTGCTGTTTTATCGCTGAATAAACTCATTTTAGATTTCCATAATTTTCCATTAACAATGTTTTTTAATTCATTATCATTTGCAAGGAATTTCTGTGTATTTTCCAAAGTATCTTTTAATACATTAGGAAGTTCGAAGAAATGTTTAATTTGAAATCGTAATGGCATTAGTACACCCTTACTGTGTTGCTCTGTTAACGAAATTGCATGGTGATGAACTACGGGCGCAATTCTATTATCAATGTCGAATTCTTGTGGGTCTTCAAAGCACTTTCTCATTTTGAGTTCCTTTAAAAATTTGTAAAATGTTTTACATTTTGAAAAGGGATCTCTTAAAAACGAAACTAAGTTTCTGAGTTGGACTTTTTCTTGTTCTGCAAAATCGAATATAATATTTTCTAAAAAGTGTGCTATTGGCAAAAGCAAATCATTTGTTATATCATCAATTAGTCGTTCTGCATCAGATCGAGCGAAATTTGATTGACTGTGCAATTTACTCAAAAATAGTAGCGCAATATTTTCGAACTCAGCATGAGAAAATTCGTATATTTCTTGACGTTCTTGATTACATTGCCGTTGGTTTAATTGTGGTGGAAAATTATTATTTTCGGATTCACTAAGACTCTGAACAAAAGAAAATGCTTTTTCGAAATATTTTCTCAAATTTTGAAAGTTTTTTCATACAAATTGATGTCAAATTTGAGAAAAATCATTTTTTTTTATTAATATGACCCATTTGATTGTAAATTCATTGGTTGACTAGCAATTCTGACAAGTTTAAACGTAAAACTAAAAAATCCATTTACCAGATTGTATCCACATGAATGGGAAAAAAGTTTCCAGGCCCGTAAAGTTTTCGCTGATGTGCTACCACTTGAGTTCAAAATTTCTTGTCGTCTGATTTTGAAGGTTTTTTTCCAATTTGCTTCAACTGTGCTCCACGGCGAATCAAAAAGTTTGAGCCAGTCATAGGCAGCTGCATAAAAAAATATGAAATAATTACAAAACAAAAGCTATTGTGGTGGCGTTACATTTTTCATCCTCGAAAGTAAATGTATATTCTTCTGTCGGTGATGCCTCAGGAGTTGAACTTTCTGGGTCCACTAATTCACCGGATTTCCTCAATCTCTTCAATGTGTTGTAATATTTATCGTACAAGCGGCCTGCTGGTCTCAAGGTAATAGGATCTTTGTGGTAGTAAATCGACTGAAAATAGGTGAAAATTTAGAAAATAGTTTTGTAATGAATAAATAATTTACCTTGTCATCTTTAAACCTGTTTGCAATATCTTGCGCAATAGATTGGAATGTATTTCGGCATATTTTGATTTTTCTTTTAATAAACCACGACACAGTGGCATCAATTAAGATCTTCCTCCCAGCGTCATCTAGTTTGTCCAGTCGCAGAACATACTCGCCAGTTGGATGGGCACTTAACACTTGCTGCAAATCCTTAAAAATTGTAGGTTTTTAAAACTTGTTTAATGTTTTGTTGGGTTTGTGAGGTGCCTCATATATAAACTTACGAAGTCATGTGAAGATGAACTGGATGTTTGTGAGCATGAAGGAGATTCGATGCCATTGTTGATCCGCTGTCGCCACTGCTGCACAAAGTCAACAAAACCAGAATTGGCGGACGCTGTATCGCACGTCGACACGCTACCATACCCCTGAAGGAATTTTGCAACAAAAAAGATTCTTCATGAAATGATCACAGAGGGATTCACAATACTTACGTTTGTTTTCCTCCAAGTTATGAGTTGATGGCGGAATTCCGCTCTAGCACCAATGGTGTCGTTTTTAAACAAATCAGCAAGGTCAGACTCCGTCAGATATTGCAAATTTTTCAAGGTTATTGCTTGCGCTGGAATTTCACTAAATTAACTAAAAACTACAACAATGACAATGTATTTGCAACTTACCTTTAAATTCAGCGATTTTATGTGAAAATCCCCACTCCAAAATCAATTTACAAAATTCCGTGTCTTCTGGATCAGGATTATCCATATCATCCGCCTCCACAGCACGCAAAATATTTAGCGAAAACAATTCACTATTGTTAAGATTCATCAACACTTAATTTTAATATATTAATTAATTTAATTTCACTTCACTGCACCTACGCAAATAACAACGTCCATGAAAAGTTTGCAAATGAATATGAAAGAAGAAAAGAAGAAGCAAAGCATCAAAAGTGCCGTTATTCTTATCGCATAAACTCTCTTTTCGGTTAGATTAACAATCAAAATAGTAGAGCTACAATTTTATTCGGTTAGTTTTACTATTTCTGTGGTTAAAAATAGTAACTTTACCATTTTGCAGGTTGGCCATACCAATTTTTTGTGGTTAAATTTATGTGCTACAATTCTAACGATTAGTTTAACTATTTTTGTGGTTATTCTCATCATGAAGAGGGAAGAAAGAGAGAAGAGAATTACGTGAAGACTATCTTTTCAGTTAGATTAACAATCAAGATAGTAGAGTTACAATTTTATCCGGTTAGTTTTACTATTTTTGTGGTTAAGAATAGTAACTTTACCATTTTGCAGGTTGGCCATACCATTTTTTGTAGTTAAATTTATGTTCTACAATTCTAATGATTAGTTTAACTATTTTTGCGGTTAAAAATTTCCAAATTCGTATAACAATTTTTCGTCGATTATATTAACAACCTGAATTGTACTTGTTGTTTGTGTTTTCAATGTAAAATAGAAAAATGGTTTATTTACAATCTTTTTCGGTTAGATTAACCTATCTTTTTTCTTTCTGTGTACTGACTTTGGGCTCATATTTCCCTTGGGGAAGTTTTCGTTACAGAGGCATTACTGGCAGGCGACAACAGACAGCTCAGGCGTTAACTTTCTAAGGATCAAAACATAGTGGAGCGGCGTGCAAAGCGAAGAGCTAGCATCGAGCAAAGCTTCAATTACAACCGTGTATGTACGCTTTACTCTTCACCATTCGCTTTCCCATTGAAACATATGCGTTTGAAATCGACGCTTCGCTCAATGCTCTTTGCTCGCCGCTCCACTATGTTCTTACCATAAGGCAGCATCGTTACTCGTCTATCAGCCGCCAAAGCAAGCGCGTCGCACAAACACACAAAGATAATTATCGTAACCCTTTTGATACTTTAAATACTATTTGTGAACTTTAAATAGCATTTTCAACCAAACCCTGTGTCTCATTAATTACCCGAAGATTAAACACGGTAAATTTTGACAATTTTAAAAAAATTTCATTAGGCAGAGACAAACACAACAAAAAGTATATCCGTTCTAGAGTATCTAACGCTCGATCTTACATAATTAAGCCACTTTTGGCAACTCGCTTAAAGTCTTCTGCAAGTTTTTGAGTTATTTCAGCGACGATTTCACTTCATTTTCTACAAAACTCCTGTGAACGCTAAGCTTACTTAAACCTAAATTCAAGTACAAACTAAGGGAAAATATTAAAAGATAATATTTATTTTACCTTTTTTTTTTGAAGTAAATGAGCGATATGATTGAGTAAAAATCATAAAACTTTCTATTGGAATTTTTTTCTTGTAGAGTAGAAGTATGCGTATGCAACTAAAATTAAAAATCCCAACATGCACGTGCATTTGTATTTACTTAGTTAGTTGCAGTTGTAATATCCTGCAAATAACATACATATGTACGAGTATGTTAATACATATACACGAGTAAGTACCTTCCAGTTTCTGTGTGGTCCGCAGTGTTTTCGTTTTCAGTTCCGCCATAGTTGCATCTGTCAACAAACGAATATTAATTTAAAACTATTCAATACCACAATACTAGATAAGTAAAAATATTAAATGCGCATACTCCAAACGCTAATGTGCCGCTTATTTTCCAACAAAGGAAAACAAAAAGGAAATAAACTCCACTTAACATAATTCTAAGCGCACTTAATTTATTAATTACCATCGATGACTAACACTTTGTGCAAGCCGCTCCACTTATCGGTGTTAAACATCAAATAATCTCCGCCAACTGTCAACTGTCACCAGAATGCGAATTACGAACTGTCAAAGAAAGTCGCACAAGTGGATTTCGGTACTTTCTTTTTGACATATTTTCATTCTCCAATTAACAACAATCCTAATGTTTATCTTCTAGCTGCAGTAAAGGAGAGGTTCCCTTAAGAAGGACAAAATCCGCAGTCTCTTTTCAATGGTCGCAGGGCACTTAGAGTATGAGGAAAGACACTTGACTGGGTGCTTCAAGTTGGCATGAATAACAAGTGCAATAAATTAAAATATCGCACTGATGCCTAACAAGCCACTTGAATTCGACTTGTTGTTCTTGCTCTTTTTTTAGAGTATTGTTGTTTTTAGCAAAGAAAGCAGGACTCTTTTCGTGTTTTTTTGTTGTATTTTTCAGTTTTCTCCCAGCTTCACATTGTTCCGCTGTGACATTTGGTGACAAACGCCGCCACTGCTTTGGCAACTTCTTTGGCTGAGCTGTCGTATAGCGAGACAGCGTTTGCGCGCGAACACACACGTTGAAGTGTCAAAGTGACATTTGTACACCCAACAGGGGTTACATATTTGACACAAGGCAGCATGTTAGGGGAGCGTTTGTGTGTAGAAAGTGGCGGCTGCGAAGAAAGTCGGCAGGCAAACACCCAACCAAACATACGCATACATACGTGGTACTTGAGCGGATTTGAGGCAATCAATTGGAGAAAAGTGTCAAATTACAAAAATCACACGCACTTAAGAGCTCCGCAGCACACAGAGGAACAGAGCAAGAGGAAAAGGAAAAGGAAGAAGCAGATTACGAGAAATGAAGAGCAATAAGGGAATCAGCGCGCGAATGTGCTTGCTTGTACATTCTAAATATGTATGTATGTACATGCATATGTAGTTCCGGATATCGCGGCTAACACTGTTGATTCGGTGGGTCACCAGTGACAGTAAACTGACTCTCTGACTGACGAGTCACAGGTTAAGGCGAGTGGCTCAAATCCCTACTAATTGGGGCACTTGGTGGGGGGAGAGAGAAATACTGCCGCGTCAAATTTTCAACTGCAAACATTTTTGATCAAACCCAGACAGCTAATGAATTTGAAGAACTGTCAAGAAGCCAACATATTTTTAATTTCAATATTTAAGCGAGAGGTTAATTGATGTGACGAAGGTTCTACTTTAACGTTTACATAAGAAAGCGAAAAGTAAGCAATAGGCTAAGGATGACAAAGGTGAAAAGTTTTTGACTTTTGAAACACGGGAAATTCGGCAAAGTAACGAATAAATTTAATTATGCTCCGTTTCTTGTTAACGGAAATTGATTTGCAGTTAATATTAATGCGATTGTCATACTACGTAATTTTTTGTAAATTTTTGCAAGCGAGAAGACGGATATCTACTGAGGACACCCGAATGAAACGCCCCTACAACGCATATGGGTTGCATACAAATATTAAAAAAAAAAAATGTCAACGGAATCAAAATCTTTTTTCAAACATTGGTTTAAGAAAAACTTGAATAACTCAGCGAAAACTATTCCGATTTAGACTTATGAGGTATCATTGGAAAATTATTTTCTCGCTATTTAGCATTTAGTAAAAATAATTTCGCCCACCACTAACTTGTGGAATGGCCGTTATCAGAAACGCACAAAAAATTAAAATTTTACGAGCTTGTGCGCCGGAGAACGTTATCGCCCGAACTTATACCTATTTACTAAATAGTTTTATTTTATTTTGATTTTTTTAAGTTTTCTAAAAAAGAAATACATGTACATAAGTATGTATGAGGTCAATAATACATTTTGATAATTATATCGGAGTATGAAATCATCGCAAGTACAAATGCATTTGTACTTACATACATACATAGGTATGTATATATGAATATATGTAAGTATGTAAAAAATTAACGAATTGACTTCCACTACAAATAAATGCAGTCGTAGCGGCTAAGTTTTGGCCACGCCACAGTGGCCCGTAATGGCGGCTCTGGATGGTTGTTAAAGCTACGGAGTGCTAAATGTGTTAAAGTGTGTGATAGACGAGGAGGGAGGGGCATTGTACAATTACGTACATACATATGTACTCGTATGTACATACATATGTATGAATGTTTGCGTGGAAGTGGAGACATGAGTATACCAAAGGTAAACATATGCAGGATACTGATAAGCACGCAATGGCTGGTGCAAGTTAGGCCGGTTGTTCATGCGGCATGCCACGTCGTGCAACAACATATATACTATGCATGTATGTATGTATGTATAAATGAAAATTCTCTTACGTTTGTGTGATTGCCATCATATAAGCACATACCTATGTACGAAGAGGTACATACATATGTATATACCCAATAAACATTTGGGTTGGAGCTCGAGTGTAGATCCAATAAAAATTCCAAGGTCCAATGTTAATTTGAAAGTGTGCCTCAATTGGAGAACCAACCCATTCTCCAACAAAAGGGCACATTTTTTGTATGGAAATTCATCTGAGTTCTCCACTTGAGAAAAGTTTGGATATCAATTTGAATTCAAACGTTATTCAATTCATTCAACTTTTAGTCAAAACTTTGGGAAAAATATTGGATCTCCACTTGAGAATCAAGAACTTCTAAAAGATTGGAAAAAAGTTTGAAAAATGTTTGCTTTGTGCATATTGGGTATATGTATATGTAAGTACATATGTTAATATTATTTACATATGGATGTACCTATGTTTGTAAATTACCACACATCGTGTGACAACTGCTCATTCAACGCTACAACATCAGTATGCTTGGCGAGGATGGCAAATTGCATTTCATTTACTTTTCGGTTGCGTTTTATTTATTTATTTCCAGCGAACTATCCTCAGTTGAACGTTCGGCCAGCTCGCTAGCTTTGTACATGCAATAACTGCGACCACATTTAGGAACGTTAAAAAAGGTTAGTAATTATTCAAAATTACGGACATTTGCATGTTATAATGGAGGCGGTCGGCGCGCTTGCCAGTTCCTGTGCTATCCGCGTAGATCCGAGTAGGAGTCATAGTCATGTGAGGCGAAGTATGGGAAAATGGTGCAGAGGCAGTGCGGTGCAATTGTGTGGGTAATTACTCGCAAATGGGTGTTGCATGTGGACGTGTTGGATGCGTTGGTTGGTGCTATGATTGAAAGTTTTGCTGTTGTTGTTGTTGTTGTTGTTACTTTTGCTGTGGCTGAATAGCTGTTGGTACTTAAAATTAATTGTTAATGCGCCACAATAAACAAATAATAAAAATGCCAACATGTAAACGCCATTATGCATATCGTGCAC